CACAAACTTTGATAGAAGACCTACTATCAGAAATAAAATTCACAAAAACGAGTCTAAACTCCTAAAACAAAACCTACAAGGAGGAAAAAGATTTATTGCCATTTGTGACACAATACCAACCCTCAGTGTCTACTATAAAGGAAGCTTGAGTAATAAAAATGGAATCTTATACAAAGCCAACCATAACTTTAATAAATTTTTAAAGAACCACCAATCATTTCCTTACAAAAAGGGAAAATCATTAAAGGACATGCTCGTTAGAGCCCTCCCCCAAAAATGGTTTAATAACAAAGGGTTCACGGGATGTGCGGTCTGTCACCCGTTCCATTTTCTCGCACAACAGGTTTGTGAGTATTTTAGGAATAATTCCAGCTGGCTATGTTTTATATAACAAGTGTGGTCAACTGTCTCGTTAGTAGTTAGTGCTTATCTATGTAATAAAATAGAGTGACCCACCCCCTAAGGGTAGCTGCAAATTGCACGACCCACCCCTTGCACAAGGCTCAAAACCTCATGACCCACCCCCTCTCTGCTCCGGCCCACCCCCTCCCCCCTGTACTTTTTGACCAGTCCCTAAGGAGCATTGCAGCCTTTAATTCAGCCAGAAAGGATTTAAAAACGTTATGCTTAAAACTTGCTAGCGAGCCATTATTTCTTATATTGGAATTCATGCAATTCCAGCCCTTTATAGTCCTAATAGTGAAAGTACGACCTCCTTCTGTTTTTCGTTTTTACTTGGGGCACACCAAGTTTATGTTTGAATGTCTAGTGCTTCGATTATAAATTTCTGAATTTCTGACTGATAGACTATTGAAATAGATAGGTGTAATATAATTGTGGACCCGCTTATACACTAGTGCGCATCTCTTTATTAGAGATTGTTTAGTAAAAGGGAGCCAGTTTAGGTTATTGAATAATACGACGGATGGTGTAAGTCTTTCAGCATCGAGTATAATGCATGCCGCTCTTTGTTGAAGGTTTGAAATACTTTGAAGATGTTTAACATTGCAGCTGTCCCATATCATGCTCCCATACAGGAGGTTGGGCTTTATAACACCATTGTAATAGGTTTTCCTTTGACATTGCTTAAGAAACGGGCTAATATGCTTCAAGAGTCCTATGTGTTTGGAAAGTTTCTTACATAATTCATCAATATGTGATTCGTAGTTCATTTGACTATCTATAACTACTCCTAAAATCTTATGAGAAGAGACTTGTTCAATAACAGAGTCGTCAATCTTGACATCCAAGCGTAGGAGTGTGTCTTCATCCAGCTTAGCAAGAATACACTTTCCGTGTACTAAAAATGACTCGATTTTTTCTTGTTGATTGTAAACGTTGGGTCATCGAGCATAGATCCGAGAAATGCACACTTGTGGTTATTGTAGTGTCGTCAGCGTAAATGTCCACAGTTGAATTTGTTAGATGTAATGGAATGTCATTCACAAATAACAAAAACCGTACGGGACCTAATACACTTCCTTGCGGTGCCCCTTGCTTGATAAGTAGAGTTTGTCATTATTCTATGTGTCTTGCAGAATCATACTTGACAGTTGTTCAAATTCACTATCATCACTATCATTATCAGGTCTTCATTGAGTAGCTTCAGGGCATGTTCGAGGTCTCTGAGATAACATTAAAAAAATACAACAATGTCGAGTTGGCTAGTTACAATACTCAAGTGGCTCCATCATTACAAAACAAAAGCTGAAACAAGCCTTCACTCAGCAGAAAGGGAAAAGATTTTTACTCAAAAGAATATGAAATAAACAATGACAATAGCAGTAATTTTGTTAAACTACAAAAGACATCAAGGCACAGTTTTGATCTAGCTACTTTGTTCCTCCAAAATGGTCACGTGGTTGGGAATACAAACAGGACTACAGTGTCATCAACTATCTTGCAAGATTCATTGACAGCAAATGGACTTTCTGACCCAATGCCAGTGACATGAATAAATGAGTGTGACCTGTACAACCCCCAAAATGATCCCGACCCTGAAATGATCCCAAACCCTGAAATGATCCCCAAATTGACCCCGAAATGATCCTGACCCGAAAATGATCTCCACTTTTCTTCTTGTCGACCCCGAAATGATCCCCAAGGAACTATGGAATGGTGATTGAACATGGGACTGTGGATTGCTCAGTAATCAGGGAAAGTAAAGACATTTTGACGTATGTAGTAAATAGATTTATGGCGCCGATATATACTAAAAGAGAATAAAATAAACTAAGAATAGGGAAAGTTTTGCAATCAATTCAATTTGTAGAAACATTTGTAACTGAAGGTAATTAATGTTTTTTTGAAAGGTGAACTGGAACTGACTTAATGCAACCACATAACAGGAACGACTTTAATTCTTAATAGGTATGCATAACTTACAAATAAAATTGATCACATGGCAGCAAACCATAGAAACATATGAAAATGTTAACGTGTTAAATGGCTAGCTAACAAAACCTTGTCTTGGTAACATTAATAAAATTAATATTATAAATGGAGCTATCACTTTCAAACCAGTGGGTGGACAAGGGGGTGTGGTTGGGGGTGTTGACAATGAGGGGTATTTATTTTATGTTGAAGGGTTAAGCACTGATGATGGGATCATGTATATTGCACAACATTGCACACACACACCACATTTGATTTACTACCCCAAAATGGGTTAATGGAATAACTCCATCAAATATGTGAAAATTCTTAACCTTGTTAATAGCCCTCTCAACATGGATTCGCAAGTTAGCAATTTCTTGTGTTGCGATCACATCTTCAGCCGACATCTGATCGGACATTCTCAACAAAGGGGGGATATTTAAGGAGACTCCAAGGGGAAGAATATTATCAATGGTGAAGCCCTTGTCAGCCATTAGTGTCTCCTTTCGAAAAGGGAAGGTTCAAGAAGCCACTTCGCTCTACAATTTCCCTGTCGGATATGTTGCCAGTATACAGTTGCCCAATAAATGTGAAAAACCCTTTAGGTGAAATTCCCTCTAATGCCTTTAAAGTGGTGTGGTGCTTATATGAACTAAAGAGCTCACTATTTAAAAGGAGGCTGCTGGGCATTTCACAGTCAATGATTACCCTTGTAGTAGGATACTTTGCCTTAAAATCTTCAGGCATTGTCTCATTAACTAGTTCTCTGGATGGCCAGATATTAATATGACCAAGTTTTAAATACAAAAAGTTTATCCAGGAGATAAAGATCCGACTATCAGTTGGCTAAGAAGTGTTAAATAATTGGGCTAAATGCAACTCAGCAATACCTTGCCTCAGCCTACGCAAGGTGAAAAAAAAACTCGTTCACTGGTTTAAAGGTCCTTTGTCTAAATTGTTTCACAGACTTAGGGGTGCTACCCACATCTTTTCCAGACAGCCAATAGTTGATGTTCTCACCCTGCTCACCAGGATCCAAAAAGTCGTACAGGGCCATCATTGTTTGGTACTTTAGAAAGCTGGTGTAAAATGCCACTAGCGAGTCACTTGAGGCGATG